CAAACTGACACGTTCATATCTAACTGTTATAGTAGTCAGTTTCGGGTTTTCATTGTTTGTGTTTTTTGTTTTCTTTTTTTTGTAGTGTTGGTGCCCCGCCAAGGAGGCACGACGCTGTCCACGGGCTGCTGACACTTTGTGGAGGAGAGCATGCCCACACAATTACTTTGTAGAATGTATGAACCCGCTTTTCCGGCTTAAGTTCGGTTTCATTTTTTTTTCGTACTTTCCTTCCTGATACCCTTGTCGTAACGCCCTCACTGAGGGCATATTCACATAGCGACTTTGGGTGAGGTGTCTACCGGGTAGCACGTCCAGAGGGACTTTTTTTTTTTTTTTTTTTTTTTTTTTGTAGTTGTGGAGCGGTCGTTTTTTTAAAGTCTAATCGTGTTTTTTTTCCCTTTTCCAGGAGAGTACTATAAAAGAAACAAAACAGAGCCCAAACTCGACAAAACTCGGTGCCCAGTGAAAATCAGGGTCGACAAAAATAGGCTCGGAGGTAGTGGTGGTTTAAGGCTGCAATATAATGGGTTCCCGTATCTGTGTTTGCAGCCCCAAGGTTGCAATGAAACCGAACACATTCTCTGTCTCTCTCTCTCTCTTAAAAAAGGAACATAAGTGCTTAGGGTTGCGTTCCTTATGTATTAGTGAAACTAGGAACTAAAAAGTTCCAATAAAAAAATGAATTAGGTTGGAGTAGGTAATTGTTATTAGTTACTTTTATTCAAGGATAGTCATAGGATCAGGATAGATGAGAGAATGTTGAACATTTGTTTCATAAGAAAGTTGACTACTATGATGGAATATCGTTTGTTTAAGTACAAACCTAAGTTGAGTAACGCTCTCTATACTCCAGGGTGAGTTGTGAGATCTCCAACCTCAAGCGTTGATTTGCAATACATGAATGAGCTTAAGTTGACGAAGTTGCCTTCCGAGGCTCACAAGCCTCTGACTGCAGATTTTCAAATTGGTTTGCTGCTTTCCCTACTGGCCCAGTCATGAAACCAAGTGTTTATCCACCTCTGCATGTGTGCATAACGTCGATGTTCGGCTGACATGTTGCATAGGCCAGATACGTTTTTCTGACTGACGGGTATCGGGCTGGAATAGGTTCGGGTTCCCACTAATGCCTGCCGACCTGGAATAGGGTTGGAAAGTGAACTTTCTTGGGAAGCTTATAACGTTTTTCCCACATTCGGGTACCCAGTAGCTCCAACGAAATATTGTTCGCAACCCGTCAGGGGTGCGTTTTCCCCCATTGAGACATTTTCGTCGTCCTTCGTTATAGCGGTCGGTGATTCGGGCTCATTTGGTCGTTGGAAGGTTCTTTGGTCGCAGGTTCAAACGACACCCCTGCATTGCATTTGCAAGTGCAAACAAATGTGTCTGAACGTGGACGTATTCAACGCCCCACATGTTCACCGCTCGATTGAGTGAGTCACATATGATAAAACAACTTTTATTTAAAAAAGAAAAAACTTATAACAACAAACACTCAAGCACAGATATAAACGACATATGGACCAAGATTCGAGGACCACCAACCTCGGCACCAACTATGAATCAAGATATTCGAGCTGCGGTATAGGGGGTTTCGGCGTCTGCGTCAAGGGGTCGCATTTTTCGCAGCGGGCAACCAGGATGCAAAGTGGGTTCTTATGGGGCAAAAAAAATGGGGGGACCGGTCCTTGGCAAAATTACGGACTACCTACAACTAGCTCAGGTTGAACCGAAACTTTTGGAAAAAGGAAAGACCGGTCCTCAAGTAGAAGCGGACCCCAAAAAGAAGTGAGGGTATGCGAACTGCAAAAGGGTTCTCATGCCCAGGCATTGAGGCCTATCTTCTCAAAACAAGGAGGTCAAGCGCAACGGAACACGCGTTTTGCAAGAGGCAACTTTGACGATTTTTTGTGCTCGGAGAAACCCGAAAAAAAATCTGCAATTTTGAAAATCCAGAGATAATATCATGTTCTTTCGAGAAAAAAAAATAGAATATTAAAAAATATATATTTAGACTGTAAAATAATCATCGAACCGATTCGGCATATTTTTCATTTTTGCCACTCATCCATGTGTGGGCCAACTAAAAATGTACTAAAAACTCAGTGAGTTTTCATGCTTAGAAAAATGCATGAAAAAACCTGAAAATTAGAGTACTCGTAAAATTTGTTGTGATTTTTCTAGGAAAACGCTCAATAAATTAAAAAAACATTCCAAAAGTGAAATAGATCGCGACCTCAATTTGACCCATATTTCAATTTTGCCATTCAACCTCTCTCTCTCTGTTTGTCTGTCTGTCT